TGTCACGGACTGCAGCTTTACTTAAGCCCCGTGACCCTATTGCAGCCGCAGTTTGCCCAACTTCGGCAGCACATTGTAAATATTTCATTTAATTGTAAAAATAGTTGTAAATTAGAAAATTTTAGTATGATTCCTCGGCCAAAAGACGTCTACTGGTGTCATTTGGGTTTTTGTTGCTAAGTCTATTATAGGGGGTATATGACTTTCAAACATCTTTCAAGCTTTTCTAGTGTTCGCCCCCTGCACTAGCCATTGTAATTTTCTGCTTTCAATCAATTGTAATTTCAAGCTTTCTAGCAATCAATGATCAAGTCATGTTCAATGTATTTCCATTTTATGTTGCAAGCTTTCTTTGAATTGCAATCAAATTTCTTTTCGTCCCGAATCGACCGAAAGAAGGCGGAAGGTAGTCTAGCGGAGCAGACTACTGCTGCACGATGTCCCTTTCTGTGCTAAGAAGAAAGGTAACCCGTGAAACCAGGACATTTGATATGATTTTCGGGTACACGTGTCAAATATTCATTAGATAGTTTGGAAAAAAAATAAAAAAGAGTTGCAGAGGTGCACCCAATCCTGTCAACTATCCATGTTCAAGTAGCTTAATTGTTAGAATTTTTCTATGCATTTATTAAATATAGGTGACGTGTTTATGAAACCATGAAAATCAATTTTATAATATAAATGTGATTTAAACCGAAAGGGAAATGTTAGTTGATTTTGCGATGAAAGAAAGATCCACGTTAATTAAAAGTTCGCCTCAAAATATTTGTAGTTGTTTGTGATAAAGAAATATAGGTTACATTAATTTGAATTGCTCAAATCTACACGTGTACAAAAGGAGGGTGTCTACCTAACCTACCTAAAGGTGTGAGAACATCAACACGGTGCATTAAGCATGTACCTTCTCACAAGAAGCACTTACCAACATGTAATCACATCCACAATTCTACAATGGAACGGGTACAGACTTAGAATCCCACACACTCCTTTTCATCTCTAATCCCCATCCGGCATCCAGCTTATACGGGGCCGGGGGAAACCCAGACCGTTTATTGGAGCGGTTCACAGTGTTTATAATTATGCATCATCTGTTTTTAAGTATTTAAAACAAAAATTGAACCCAAACCTTGAGGGCCCCACCGCCCTGCCTCTATTTTTAAGTATTTTATTCAATTGAAAGTGGCTCTTCCCTTTCAGAAAAGTGGTTTCGTGCACCGACATCGTGGCTCGTGGCCCTTTTACATAAAAGAATGCAAACTAGTCGACAATAACATATGACGTATAAAACATTGATCATATAAAAGCTTTATATTACGTGTAAACTTATCCATGGTAAAGAACAGGTAGTCAATTCAAGTACATGCCAGATCATACCACCAATGTCCAGTAAATTTGACAAACTTAAAATTATATAATTTAAATTTTTCGTTACATGCAATAAATAAACTGAAACTGAAATGTACATGAACTTAAGAATAGAAATTTTGATTTTACTTGTTCCAAGAGTAATTGATGTTTTCCTCATAACTATCCCGTGCTTACGAGTCCACCTCACCACCACAAAAAAAAAAAGAGGGAAATGTCACCTTACAATAAATAAAATTTTAGTATTTATCTTTAAAGCTATGAGTCTAACAAAGGTGCCATAAAAAGGCAGGGCCACCTTACAATTGTACAATAATTACAAATTGTTTTATCCAATTACAATACATAACGCCTATTTGTTCACGCTTGAAGAGCGGCAACTCAGAAAATTGGCTTTAAAATCACGTCTGCTGCACAAAATTTCTCAACCCACACCTCTCCTATCTCAGGACAAATAATGAATGCTAAGGAAGCTCTTTTCCCTTGTAGGAGATGAGGTAGGAGAAATACCTCAATAGATGGTATATATTGTCACGCAGTCTAATTTCTTGCGTTTGAGCTTCAATAGCTATCATGTATTTTTGTTCTCCTTGAGCATCGATTCCAATTTCTTTTCCAACTGAAAACCATAGAAGATGATCATTTCATATTACGTAATACATGTAATTACATCATGTTCACACCCCAGAACATGGCAATTGAAGAATAATTTGAAATCGCATTTAAGAAAACTAAAAGCTAAAATCTTGTTACTGTATAGCATTGCATGCCAAACATGAGCTTTATATATAGGGGTGGGCACGGGTCGGTTCGGTTCGGTTCGGTTCGGTTTTTTTCGGTTCCAGAAATTTTCGGGTATTTAGTAAATGGAACCGTCGGTTCCAAATATAATTTTGGAACCATTCGGTTTCGGTTCAGTTCGGTTCGGTTCGGTTCTATTCGGTTCCGTTCGGTTCCGTACTATAATTAAATTTTTTAACATTTAAAATAATACTACATAAATATACCTTAAAGTGGATACCAATATTAATAACAAAAAGTAGATACAAATACCAAGTTCAATCTTAACTTTTACAAATTAACGTAATCTAATTTAATAACATATAAATAATAAGTTGTCAAATACAAATACCAAAAAGTAAATATTACTAATAAAACTTCGATATTCATATCAATAATTCATTTGCTTCAAACCTTCAAATCTACATAAAAGTGAAATATAAATTAGAAGTCACAAATATAAAATATTTTAAAGTATTGATAATACTTACCAACTATTTAATGTAATTATTAGTTGGTTGACTTTCCATACTAACTATTAAGAAACTATATAAGAAAAAATTGAAAAAAACACAACTAACAAACATAAATAAACTCTAAATTGTTCAACTAATAAGATTTAATAAGAAAAAAATTATTAATTTGTTTAGAAAAAATAAAAGAAATTAATTTATCCAATATAAAAAAAAAAGTTCGGTTCTTATTCGGTTCTTCGGTTCTTGGTCGAGAACCGAGAACCGAACCAAACCATTCGGTTCTCGATTCGAATACCCGTTCGGGTATTTCATTTTAAAAAACCCGCTCGGTTCGGTTCGGTTCGGACATTTTGCCCAGCCCTATTTATATATTTTCAAGAACATCGTCATATAGGTTATTGAATATGAACAGTAATGCGATAAATGAAGCTTGAAAACGACACAAGGATAATACGATATAACACACATACCTTGGAATTTTTTATCTTCTGTCTCTGCAATTCTTCGACTAGACTTCCGATGCTGAGATTTGGAAAACTAGGGTTAGTTGACTAGAAAATAGAAACGACGACGTTGCATATTATAGGGTGGGTTGAGGGTTTATCTTCATACCTTTGTTGCAATTGAATCACCTGAGCCTGTAACTCTCTCTCCTTGGCAGCAGTAGCTGGAATCTGTAAAATGTTACAAGAAGAAACCTTATGTTATAGAGAAGCTTTTAAATTTAATTCTGAAATAGCACAGCACAGTACAAAGCTTTATAAATGGTTTAATTTATAAATAGATAGAAATGAGTGGTGGATAAATTGATGGTACTTGTGGGTCCATAAGAATGTGTTTGAAAATGAAATTTGACCATTTCTAAATTATTTATAAATTTTGCCAAACAGAGGCTTAATGTATTAAAGAAAGAGGCAATTGTAACAAGAAGTTTTTGTCAGGATAGTACAACTTGAATAACTTAAATCAGTTAGTTAAAAAGAAAAAAACCATACCTGCACAATGTCATTTATTCCTGCCTCAGAGAACTCATTAGGATTGCCTGCACCAAGGAAAAATCGTCCATGATGAGATACATAAAGGCAAAATATTGCACACCGCCTCCACACACACAAAATGAAAGGAGGGGGTCTAGAAAAAAGAAAACATGTCACGATGAAAATAGAGAAACATGTGAAGGGGAATGGAAGATTTGCTAATGAAAAGGGAAATATGCTTTGCTAGTTTGCTCATTGATTGTATAGGAAAATGTGAGTTGTACATTCTGTACTTCAGCAAATTTGCTATTATCAACGCGTAAGTTGATAGATGAATAAGCAAGATACTTTTCCTCTGTATAGATTAGCAAATCTTCCATTCATATCCCCCAGAAAAAGTAGTACGAATGATGAAAATATATATATATTTTTTTTGTCTGAGATCAAGCATATGTGACAGTACCAGAGGATTGCTCCACAAACTTGATCAATTTAATTAGCTCTTCCTGGTAAGAATAGAGAACAGATTAGAATCGTGATAGTAAGGCAGGTCTGATCGAGATGAGCGACACTCACTCTTTGCATAGTGTTCTGCTGCAGGATACATTGCAATGATGGAAGAACTGAAGCAGCCGCAAGGCTTGGGTTCATCGGGCTTGTAGAGCCTCCAGTATTTGGATTAAAGAAACAGTTCGTAGAACCCTGAATAAGAGAAAGAAAATGCAATGGTTATAAAGCCATTGAATAAAAAAATTGAAAGCTAAGTTCCACACTTGCTTTTATTGAAGACAAGCAAGGCAAGGGCAGAATATCTAGAGGAGGAAAAGTATTTCAGGATCAAAAATGAGAATTCTACTCATCTCAATTCTTTAGTTAGTAAACCTTGAAGCAAGAGATTATTCGAGGACTGAAATTATTCCAAGACCATTTGATTATATTTAATGAACAATATGCACCAAGAAATACAACGAAATAGTGTTGCTGATGTGAAATAGAAGAGAGATGAGAAGAAAGGAAATAAACTAGACGTGAAAGAACAGGAATCCATGAACGCAGACAATTTTGAATCACCTAATTAACGAGTCTAAGATAAGACTAAAATCATACCTTGGGGCTAAGATCTGCTGAAGTGACTTTAAAACGTCCCCTACGTTGGACTACAGGACCTTCAGATACATCTTCCCCTAAAAGGAAGACAAAACATTCAGTGAACGATGGAAATAAATATAGTATAGTCAAAATAAAAACAAAAAAGGAGATCAGACCCATCTAGATGAGTAAATAATATGGAATTTATAGTCTATAAAAGCATTACCAGCTGTAGAAGTACTGAAATCTTTCTTTTGACGATACTGTATTGGACCGCTGTAACTCCGCTCACTGGGAAATCTTGGTCGCAGATGTTCCCTTCATATTAATAAAAATTATATCACTACATTTCTAACAAAGTTTTTTCACAAAATCATGGAAGAAGCAGCCAAAACTAACTTGGGAAATATATGACAAAATACAAACTAATACTATTTGGCAATATCTTATTGGAAATGGCCAAAATCACACCTCATCATCCTCGTAAACACCACACATGAGGATATTATGAGACATATTTTATTCTTGCATCAAAATCACCTGTAGTCAATGGACTTGATGCCCACCAGCCATAAAGTGGACCAAGGAGCCAATACACAGTCTTTTCTCTATTTAGTGATAGATGTCAATTCCTCCACCCTCGTACGCACACCGAGGGGAAGGGGGAGCCGCTATTCAGCAAGTGTGTGCAATCTAGAAGCAAGAAAAATTTTCATAGGATGTATCTATTCAAATGATTCATTTGATCACACTACTAAAATTGGAGTAAGCAGAATGGGCAATGATTATGGGTTCTAATTGGCTTCCCATTTTCTTAAACCAAAAAGTTAAAAGGATCCAGCATGTTGACACACCAAATCCAAATCCCACAAAAAAGGGGCTCCATTTGTATTCTTACTCTTTGAGGGTATGTGAACTTCACTATTCTAAGATCTTGTAACAAATAGCTAGCCATCTCAACATTTCAAAACCTAAGACACTTGTTTTAGTCCCTCCTAGTATTATATGCATAGGTCAAATTCACATTGTGTAATAAAATGCAGTACCCAAATATTAATTAAAAAAAAAAGTTTCAATAAAGTAGGTAGACACCATCCAATTGGCTTCCGATTTTCTTAAGCCAAAAGGCTAAAAAATCCAGCTCATGGACACACCATACACAACCACAAAAAACGGGGCTTCACTTTTATTCTTACTTTTTCTGGGTAATGTAAACTTCCCCATTCTAAGATCTTGTAATGGACAGCTAGCCATCTCAGAATTTCAAAACCTAAGAAATTTGTTTGTCCCCTCCTAGTACTAAATTCATAGGTCAAATTCAGGTTAAGAGATTAAAATACTTGAATAGACGTTGACAGTGACAATTGTGTTTCTGTTTAAATCTTGGATGTGGTTTAAATCCAAAAAAATGTCAGTGGAAGCATTTGATTCATTTCCATACACAAACTTCTACGGAACAAGTTAATTTTCATAGAGATGAAAGATTCAATCCAAAATTTGACAAAGACGGAGCAGCAAATACCGTGTGCAGAAGGCCTCAGAGGAAAGTTCAACTTTGCAGGAGGAAAAGAATGCATTTTACTTTAAAAATTGAAAGCACAAAAATTATTCATCACACATATATCCAACACTTGAGGCCATGTAATTTACTTCTTAGAATTGAAAGCATGCAATTATTTATCAAATATATACAGACCATTCTGGAGTTGTAAAATAGAGCTCATACAATGGACCATGGAGAGGACCATACCTGTCTCCATCACCTACAATTTTTTTAGGAGATTGAACATTATCCTGTAACAGTGAACCGCTTGAAAAAAAATTTTGTCCTGAAATAGCAGGTGGTGGCAAGGAGCCACTTTCACCATCATCTCTTCCTGTTTCTTGATGCTCAGTTTTTGCTGATGCTTGTAGTTGATTCTGCTCTTCAGTGTCTGAGCGAACAGAATTTTTCCAATTTGGACAACCAGCATCCACGTCATCCTCAAACACATCAAAACAACCTCTGCATTTAATAAAAGGTTTCACATTAATTTTCCACCCAAAGATGTGTCAAACAAATCATTTTCTAAGTAACAAGCTACTAAAAATGTCGCTAACACACATAGATTAATTGTAAAGGGTTCATCAACTTAGTTGAATGAGTTATGAGCATGTATTTAGGAGATAGAAGAAGAAATCTAAAAAAGATGTGCAGAGCCCTTGTGTGCATACAAGACACGTGTGCACGTTATTTTGATAGATGACATGTTCAATAGGACCTGGAACGCACTCCTACACCAGGGAACTAAGAATTTGTTACGTAGCACATAGGAGAATTTCAGGCAGATCAAAGATGGATTGACAAAATGTGTTTGACGGGGCATACGTTGGCCAGATTTCCTTTTACGCTAATAAAAAGTGTCAGCTCCATATCCGCACAAGTGCAGAACCCTCCCTACTTGGTCTGTGCAGATACACAATGTTACTTAGACTTGGTAGGAAGTGTCGGCTAAAATCCTGAGTTCAACACAGGTATTCTCATTCTTCTTGGGTTTTTAATTCATTTGTAAATCGCGAAGGATCTGACGTGGCTCAAAAAGAGGTATTTTTGCCTTAATAGAAGAGTATTGAGTAATATAGAACATACACAACACATTCATGAAAATTGCTGACTGGTAACAGCAAGCAGATGGAGACATCGATTTCATTATAGATTGCAATAGAAGGTTGCATAAATATATAATATTCAATCCAAGAATGATAAAACCGAAGTTTTCTATCTTTGCAAACCAGAGGCACCATACTTGAGCGCCTGAAGAGGTTTCATAGCAAATGCAGAAAGCGAATTCTCTAGATCGTGAATGTCACTTTGTCTGTCCTGAGAAAATAAAGATTAAACTGCACATATCAGATAACTGCACAGGATTTGGGGGGACCTAGAAACAAGAGCAGATGAGAGAAAGGGCAAACCTGAAGGAAAGTATTGAATAACAATAATTAAACTAGGATTATAACTCGAATAACAACTATACCTCCAGCTGCTGCGCAGCATTTGAATGATTGCTCCGATCAGGGGACACCCCCTCTGGAGGTGTACCAGCGTCATATTGCCCATCCCTGTGCTTCACACTCACACTTGAATCTTCTGAATTTGAAATAGTGTCATCCTGAATCTGCAGGCAACAAAGTGGAAAATGCTCAACTTATTAAAGCGGCATTCAAATGATCCAATCCATATTACCAACTGATCAGCGGACTAATAGCATACAAGGGCAGCTTGATTCTTCAGATCCTCCAGATTGAAATTCCAGGCACTGATTCCTCGGATGTACTCTTGCTGCACATTAAGATAAGCTCAGGACAAGGGTTGACTAAGATGTAGAAAATACAAGATTGATAATATTGTAAAACAAATTACGGACTCTATGCATACATTTATTGCATCTTGTCAAATTTTGTTTAGTTAATAAAGTAATTATTAAATTACATGCATCACACAGGAGAATCTAGCTTATCTAAGGAAGCAGAAACCATTATATACTCACACACAAAGCAAGGATTAATATACAACTTAAATTGGCATATGAAATAGAAAAGAGTGACTTGTTCTTTATTGATGTCACTCCCTCATATTCATCCTTTATTATTCTAATTTTACTTTAACTTCTTTCCCAATTATAGGCCAGTTTTAGCTAACAGCTTCAATGATCCTCTTTCGACATTTAATTACTTCAAGTTGCATATCCAGTTGAATGTTACATCTAAGTCATCCAACCATCGAATGTTGCAAATATGTGTCTATTGCATGAAATAATTACCTAACATCAGACTAATACATTTCTGATTCCCAAAGTTAAATATACCAAAAAACAGCTTTATCTGCGAAAGGTAACAGCTAGATCCAAAGTGCCTTGTCATGACATCGTCCAATGTCTTATTCAAGAAGCACGGAAATATTGACAAATTAAAACTTGTAGTTCATATGTACAGGGGGATGCAGAGCACCATGACTATCCATGATAAACTTTCAGCATTCTATGCAGCTGTAGAGGACAATAATTTGTTGGCTGCACGTGTTTCCTCTTTACTGTTGTACGGCATCTTTTTCCTTGGTAGGATCCAGGTATTTTGCAATATATGCATTTATGTTATAATCCCAGTCAAACATGGACTCCAACAAGCATGAGCCACAGACAATACAGTGCGAATTCGCATGAAATTAAATTATGCTCGCAATTGTTTCTCAGCTTTTGTCATGAGAAAATATTCCAGCGCTTAAAAAGCATTTCTCATCTTATAACATATTACCATTCTATATGCCCAGATAGGATAAAGTTGCAAGCTTTAATTCTCAAATTAAGATATTACAATGGAGGGATCTGCGGCCACTGTGAAGAAAGACAGACAGTTCAGAATGCAAATTGGCTTTGTTCCCAATAAAATTGTAATGTATGACATAGTTGATTTATCACCTGTGATAACTGATCCTTGTCCTCGTACAATGCCTTATTTTGAACAAGAAGATCTGCTTCTTTTGCCTGAAATAAACATTTGATTTTGCAGAAAAAGAGAAATCAACACAACTTTGTTTCCACAGAAAGTACATTACAATGCATGAGATGAGCATAATACCTTGAGCATCCTAAACAGTTCACCTAGAGGGGGCAAGCCATCAAGGATGGTACGGGCTAAATAATCAGTGGAGCGCGCATGTTTGAAGAAAGGGTGCTTTAAAAGCTTTTCCGAGGTGGGACGCTTTTTTGGATCTTTTACCAAGCAAGCAGCAACCAGTTCTTTGAAAGACTGAAAATGGTTTGCAATTTCAAGAAAAAAGACACAAATTTAAACTCATCAAGTCTTGTAACATACCAGTTTTAAAAAAAAAAAAGTCTCATAAAACAAGAAAAACCTTGGAAAAACGTTTGTCTCTTTCATAGTCTAGCCCTGGTGGTGCATTTTGCAGTGTCATCAGAAGAACCTGCACTTAAAGGAAGTGTAGAATGTTTGATGAAACATATAATGTACACACAATGCAAATGGATGATTAGGGTAAATGAGACAACCAACCTTCATAGGTGGATACTTAGAGAATGGTGCATGACCATGAGCAAGTTCAAGAGCTGTTATTCCAAATGACCAGATATCTGCCCTGTTTATACAAATTGCATAGACAAAAACTTATAAAGTGGATTACATTAAAGAAATAGATTAAAAATTGTCAGAGGAAATACTCACTTAAAATCATATCCATGCAATTGCTGCATAACTTCAGGAGCCATCCTGATATAAATTCAAGAAAGAAAAATATCCAAGTTAATATTAACTGTTTTCCAAAATAATATGAGTAAAAGAAAATACAACAGGGAACACCCACCAGCATGGAGTTCCAACAAATGTATTTCTAGTACGCTGGCGATCACCAGTGTCAAACATGCATGCAGATACTCCGAAGTCTGCTAATTTAACGGCACCATCAGAATCAATCAATATATTCCCAGCCTGCAAAATTATGTAAATCAGTATGTTCCAAGAACAAGATTAGGAAGAAGAGAAAAACTGCTTCCAGGTAGGGGGAGGATAAAACTTCTACCATTATGGATAAACCTTCTTACCCATTTAGAGAAAAAGTAAAAAGCACAAGAGCCAGGTCTCAATTGACTACGAGAGTAGAAATGAGACATTTGGCAACATAAAGAAGTTTATTTTCTACCAAATGAAACTAAAATAATTAGAGATCTTGTAGAAAACCATCCACAAGCCCAATCCAAGTAGATGTACACATGCTTCAAATTGAAATGATGGATAGAAAATACATAACAAGACAGAGAAATACAAAATGGCCTTCCATTCAAGTAAAGATGGCCACGTGCCACACCCATACCTTCACATCTCTATGAATGTGTCCGTGGAAATGAAGATACACAAGAGCTTTTAGGACCTCGCGTAATAATGTAGCAATAACAGGCTCCTCAAAACCTTCCGGAAAAGATGATTTCATTATATGAAGGCAAGACCCCCCAGCCATGTACGGCATTACAACCCAAAGATTGTGGTCAGTAGTGAAGGAACAGTGAGCACGCACTACATTTGGATGGTCAATCAAAATCATTGTCTGTACCTCTCGGCGGATACCATCCTAGTCATATCACACCCAAGAAGTAAAAGTTAGAAAACAAAAAGGGGACCAATATTTGCTATGACAAAGTTCAAATGTGTGGTAATATTGTTATAAGACGAGAAACATTAACCCGTACATATCTTTATGCCTTGGCCATGTCCAGAATTGATAAGAAACACAAATTCCCCTACCATCAATGTGCGACATATATATAATCCTTTTTTTGGTACTTGAACAAATTTCTTCTAGAAATTTTAGCTGATTTTCGAAAATCGAAATTTACGCAGTCAGTGCTTTTTCTAATACAGCCATGGTTCTTTTGAACCTGACCCACAGGCGTAATAATTCAACCAAAAAATCATAGTTTAAAGCATAAGTATGATTGCTGCACTATCTAGCTATGTGGGTAAAAACAATTTGAATCAAATCCTGTCCATTGGAAAAATATGCAAAATGCAAATATAGAATAAAAGCCAAGTAAATCCATGAATTGTCAATTTTCAGGTTAATTGAGAAGATTACATACCAGGTCACTATTAAACTTCTCGAGATCAAGAACCTTGATTGCAACTATCTCTTTAAGAGGAATGCAGAGAGCTCTGTACACAGTCGTACTGACGCCTTCTCCAACTTCCTCATATAACTCATAATATTTAGCATCGAGAGGAAACTTTTTTCCTGACACCTGTTCCATAATTTCTCCTTATATCAATAATTAACACCCCCTTTACACCTTAAAATCCAAGTGAACTTCAACTGAATATAGCAAGAAAGAGGCGGGACTCAAGAAAATATGAAGTTTCTTTGAATAAATTAGCATTTTCCTTCTGTCTACCCAATTTATGCAGCCGCAACACCTTCACAGCATGATACTTCCAACTCAATTTTTTTTACCAGAGCTAACTATTCCAACTCAAACCAATCTCCAAAAGTATAGGCAGATGCAGGTAACACCCAGTCAATAATTTTTGTGCATTTTCAAACTTAACATCCCTTGACCACCAATAACACTTATTTCAAAAAGGAGCTGCACTTTATCTCAATAATCACCCGAGTGATTATTCAGCCAGGATTATGAACTGATATTTGAACTAATTACGGACATGCTCCATATCTCCACAGAAACCTTCTGATCAAATGATTTCCAGAAATTCAAAAAACTGCAAAGAAACAAAATTGACTATGTATGTAAATCTGACTTAGTGATATCTGGCCAAATAAAAATGATACTCGTTAATCGAGATGCCATTTTAAAGTGGGAATGGCAAATAAAAGTATGTGCGTTGGAATTCGTCTAATTTATATTTGAGGCCATTATAATGCCTTCTCTTTGATAAAATAAATGCAAACATTTAGTCGCTGAAAAAGAAGGGAGCATGAGATTGTGATACTATCTTCTCATTATCTGTTTTCCAGTAATGCATTGAGAAAAATGAAAAGATCAGTTGATTTCTTTCTACAAATTATTCACTTAAAAATATCAAAATATGTTATCCCAATTAGAGCTAAGTTCATAAAAGGCAAGCTCCAATATCAATTCAAATCGAGGTGTAATGAACAAATCGAAATTAGCATAATATCTCGTCGAGTAACTGATAAATTAAACATATACGTTATAAAAGTAAAGCAACTAATGCATCTTCTCCACACATTGCATAAAAATTCAATATTTATAATCCAATCAAATGCAAGACCAATAATTAACAAAAAAAAATAACAGCAAAAATTACATAAAAAATGCAATTAAATATTCCACCAAGACGTTGAATCGTCGCGACCAGTTCTAAGTTCAATAGATACCATCAACTGGAAATTGTACGGACCTAGGGTTTGTAGACCATGGAACTTCGAGGTAAAGGAGAATGTAGAAATTAAGCACGGGCGTAAACGACGTAAATCCTCTGGTTCGACTAGGTCGGCATAGACCATGTCAATCGAATAATTGGAAATAGGTCTTTCCCAACAGTTGTCCTATGCGGTTCTTGCGGTGGAATCTTCGCCGTTAAATCATGTGGCAAAAAAAATAAAATTCTTTTTAGAAATTACTATTTTTCTTTCTTATTTAATTGGTAGCCGAGTATATTGAGGACAAGAAATTGTCTTGTTCTTCTAAAAACGGTAATTAATAATTAATGATTTATATATTTACTATTTGTTTGAGTCCCATTCTTGGAAACAAATAAATTTTATCATGGGTTGAAGTGGAGAACGAATTGAACTAGAACTGCTATTTGGATTTTAGTAAAACGGACACTTCAATTACGAAGGCTATTAATGCATCACATCTTAATATCGTTTCAACAAATTGATCAAGACGGACATTATCGAGGTTCAAATTTGGTAGAGATTTTGTCACCATTAAAAAAAAGAATAAGATTTTAATTATTTTTCTCTCTTAATTCTATTTGATGATCCACTACGAAAAAAGAAAAGAAAAGAAAAGTTTTGAGCATGTTTGACAATTGTTTATAATCAATTTAAATTATAGATAGATATAAATGAGTGATGGATTGATGAATGGTACTTTAAAGATCCACGAAGTGTATGAATAAAAAATAATTTACATCGTTTATAAACTCTTGCCAAACATTTGCTAAATCAAGGCAAGACTAATAATTAGTTTAGAATTCTTGTGTTTGTCGTTTTCGAGCCGTTTTTTGTTTTCGATTTTCGAAAACGTCCAAAACGCGTTCTCTTTCCTATTTTCGAAAACGAGTTTTTGAAAAAAAAAAAAAATTTGCACTAAAATCACAAAATAATGTTTTTAACATTTTGGATGTTTTCTGTACAAAACTCGAAAAATTTTGAAAACGCGCAAAACACAGCGTACTGTTCCAAAATGACAATTTCTTCCCACGATCCAAATCCAATCTCTTCTTCCGTCTTCTCTCTTCTCCAAAAGAGAATAGCCGGCGATCTTCTCTTCTCCGAATCGGACGCTGCCGTTGGACCGTGCCGGCGTCGGAGTGGGGACCGGGGAGGCGACGTTGCTGTGAACACAGCGTCGTGAGCCATTCGTCGCGACCCATGGGAGGCGACGCTGCTGTGAACGTTCGTCTCTGCCGCCTCTCTCTTCGACGCCGGTGACGTTCGTCTCTGCCTCCTCTCTCTTTTTTCTGTAGTATTTTTTGTTTGGGTGTTTTTTGGTTGTATTGATTTTGGTGGTGGTAGATGGTTGATGATGGTGTTGATTGAGGTCGATTTTGGAAGTGGTTGAAGGTGGTGGTTGTGTTGATTTTGGCAGTGCAAAGAGGTGGTGGTGGTAGTATTGATTTTGGTCGGGTAGGGCAGTGGTTGAAGGTAGCGGAGGTGGTGTTGATTGAGGT